TATGCAAACACATGTACATGTTCACATGCACATACACATACACATGCCTATAAGTATATGGTTAATCGTTTTCGTGTACATATACATTTACACATAGACATACACATACAATTGCAAGTACATATACCTAGTCTATACGCATACATAAAGATATATCTATATATACATATACATATATATATGCTCATATGCATATGCATACACATAGACGTCTACACATATATATGTGTGTGTATATAAAAATGTGTGTGAACATAAACAGATGCATGTACATAAACCTATACCTCTGTATACATATATATACACATCTGCATGTTTATGTGTGTGCGGTCTGCATGTAGGATGCCTCACGACTGGCGGAGGAGGCGGAAATGGCGGAGGAGAAACTACTCCGCGCGGACATGCATCTAGCCTCAATTTGCATGACAGATCGGGCGGGGTAATTTCCGATCCCGTTGTGAGAAAACACAACTATCAATCAAGGGGGGGGGCCAGGTACTCCGCGGGAGCGCAGGAGCCGCCTGCCCACGTCAGGAATCTTCATAGGGATAGGAGATCCCAACATCGTGCCAACCCCGAGAAACGTTCGTCACAGCAGCGTATCCCGCCCCAAAGCTCGGGGATCTACTGACCCGGGCCAATCCAAAACCCAGGTCAGTCAGGCATTGCAGGATCCTGCCAGGTCCTGCAGGATCCTGCAGGACCCTGCGCCCAAATCCGGGTGAATGCAACCCTGGCTTTGTAGGATCCTGAAGATCCGGCGCCCCGGCTGACCCCCGTTGGCACCGCCCCCTTGCCGTCGCTCGGACATCCATTTCCCGTCGATTCTTCGGTTTCGTGCGTGTATTTTTTGCTCGATGGTCCAGGATGGTCCTCGATGGTCCTCGCCGAGAAAATATGCACATGTCCGAGCGATGCCGAGGCCCCCCGTCTCAGGGCTCCCGACCCCAACGCTGCCCCTGACTGCGACCCTTCGCCGGCCGCGCCGGAGCGCGCGCCTGCCCAGGACGTGCTATGTGCAGAAGGAGAAGAAGAAGAAGAAGAAGAAGAGGCGCCACGAGCAGAAGCTTCCGGCGCCCCGCGCGGACTTCTCGGATCTGCGCTGGCCCCCCCTTCCCCCCCCCCCCCCGCGGCGCCCCCGGCGCCGCTGCGTCGACCCCCAGAGGTCTGGACCCAGTGCCAGGGACCGGCCGCTCCTCCTGAATCGGCTTCTGCCGGTCCCGAGGCCCTCTGTAGGGGCCCCCAGAGGTCGACAATAGCGAGAAACCTCCGTTGAACGAAGGATTGCAAAAAATTGCACAAAAAAAAAAAACCTTTTTTCAATCCTTCGTTCGAAGGATTGCAAAAAATTGCAAGAAATTGCAAAACGAAGGGTTTTTTTTGCAATCCTTCGACAATAGCGAGAAACCTCCGTTGAACGAAGGTTTTTTTTGCAATCCTTCGAGGGGTTTTTTTGCAATCAATCCTTCGATTTTCCCGGAGGTCCGCGCGGAGCACCAAGAGTCTGTGTGTGTGTGCCGATCCTCCTTCTGCGGCCTTCGCCGGCCGCGACGGAGCGCGCGCCTGCCGAGGACGTGCCTATGTCCAGGTCGGGCGTGTCCTCCTACAGGCGGACTTGGCAGGAGAAATGAAAAAGGCTCGGAAGATGTCCAAAAATAATCTACGGAAGGCCCCAAACAAATCGTCCCCCAGACTATGCTTTAAATTTTACCGTTTTTGAATATTCCTCCTGCAGATAGGGGAACAAAAAGTGGAGGTCCGCGCGGATTTCTCGGATCGGCGCTGGGGCCCCCCGGCGGCGCCTCCGGCGCCGCCCCATGGCGCGCTCCGCGCGCCAGGGAGGGGGGTCCAGCGCCGATCCCAGAAATCCGCGCAGACCTCCGAGTTTTTATGTTTATGCCACTTCTTGTTCCCCTAATATCGGGAGCGGCCAAGAGGGGGCTGTCCAAAAGGGGGGGGGCAAATCATGACCGGCGGCATGTGCGCGGCCCAGCGGGGGGGCCTGGAACGTAACGAAACAAGAAGAGGCGCCCTGAAATCAGGGGAAAAATCATGGCCCGCGCCAGGAGATCCCCCCCCCCCTAGTCATCACCCCCCTCTTTTCCGCCCCCGATAATAAAGGGACACGCCCGACTGCAGCCTATGTACAGCGCTCGGGCCGCCGCCGAGCTCTTCAAAAGCACTGCGCACGGGGCCCGGCGGCGCGCCTGCGCGCGCGGAGGCGTCGGAGCGCGCTCCGCGGCGCGAGGCGGCGAGCCCCCTCCTCACACCGAGCGGCCGCCTCCCCGCTCTCCTCTCCGGAGGAGGGAGGAGGGAAGAGGAGGAGGAGACGGAGGAGGAGGAGGAGGAGGGAGGAGGGAAGAGGAGGAGGAGGGGGAGGAGGAGGAGGAGGAGGAGGAGGAGGAGGAGGAGGAGGAGGAGGAGGAGGCGGCCCCGGACGCCCCGGACGCCAGGCACGCCGGAGGAGGCGGAGGTGCCCTCTGAAGGCTGCGCGGCTGGCCAGCGGGCGGGCCGTCGAGCTCCTGCCGGCGGCTTGGGCCTCGAGAGGTTCGCCCTCGGGCGACGAGCGCGTCAGCGCAGAGGGCCCCCGGGGCGATGCGCGGGCGACGGCACGAGCCTGGCGGAGCAGACGCCCTCCCCTAACCGGGCCTCGGGACCGTCAAAAAACGGCTCAGGATGAAAAGGCGGTCCCCGGGAATGGGTCCAGGCCTCTGGGGGTCGACGTCATGAAAAATCATGAAGTCGGGGGTCTGGGTCTGCAGCTCCAGCCGGCGCAGGAGAATCGCGACGCCCGTCTTTGTTGACGCCTTCGGTCTCCCGGGGCTGCTTCCTTCCAGGGGGCCGTCAATAAAGCAGCTCGAGACGAAAAGAGGCCCGTGGGAGGAGAAGCCATTTGTCGTCCCAAAGACCGCCCCAGACGGCCCAAGAGGCCCTAAAGCTAAAGGGCCCCAAGACTGCCCAAGAGGTCTCCAAGACGGCCCCAGAGGCGCCCAAGACGGCCCAAAAAAGCCCAAAAACAGCCCCATGAAGGGCCCAAGAGGGGGAACACGAACCGCAAAGCCGTGTCCAGGAGGCCACAGGCAGGATACCCCAAGAGGCCCCCGAGAGGCCCCCAATACGCCCCCAAAGGCCCCAGAAAGGCCCTCAAGAGGCCCCCAAGAAGCCTCCTGACATCCCAGCGAACATCCCGGGAGGCCCATGACCCACAACCCAGGCACGGTGGCAGGATGGGCCGAAGGCCATTAGTATAGAAATGGTTAAGACGAATGCGCGCGGCGCCTGGGCGAAAACCACAATTAGAAAAGCACCAGCCCTCTATCGTTGAACCCTTTTACATATTGAAACAAATGCGCGTGGTGCGAAGGCGAGAACCACACTTGAAAACTGGCAGCCCTCCATGTTTGCAATCGTGGAAATATTGTTCGAGCGAATGCACGCGACGCAATTGCGAGAACCACTTCTTGAAAGCCACCTTTCCCCATCCGTCTAACCGTTGGAGTCTGCTCAGCTTCAACACAATAAATCGCAAGGACATCTCAAGCGGCACGCCCGACCTGGCCTATGGGCACGTCTGGTGGTGCGACACTGACGCGTCACCTTCAAAGAAGAGAGATGATGGAGGAGGAGAAGGAGGAGGAGAAGGAGGCGGAGAAGGAGGAGGAGGAGGTTGAGGAGGGAGGAGGAGGGAGGAGGAGGAGGAGGAGATGGAGGAGGAAAAGGAGGAGGAGGAGAGGAGGAGGAGGAGGATAGAATAAGGAAGAGGGGAGAGGGGGGAGGAGGAGGAGGGGGGGATAAAGAGGAGGAAGAGGAGGAGGGATCGGTGAGGAGGGAGATAAAGAGGAGGAAGAGGAGGGAGGGGAAGGGGGAGGAGCGGGAGGAGGGGAAGAAGGGGGAGGAGGAGGAGGAGGAGGAGGAGGAGGAGGAGAGAGGAGGAGGAGGAGGAGGAGGAGGAGAGGAGGAGGAGGAGAAGGAGGAGGAAAAGGAGGAGGAAAAGGGGAGGAGGAATAGAAAAAGGAGGAGGGGGAGGAGGGAGGAGGGGTAGGGAGGGGGAGAAAGGGGGAGGAGAAGGGCGAGGAGGGGAGGAGGAGAAGAGGAGGAGAGGAGGAGGGGGAGGAGGAGGAGGAGGAGGAGGAGGAGGAGGAGCGGAGGAGGAAAAGGAGGGGGAGGAATAGAAAAAAGAGGAGGGGAGGAGGGAGGAGGGGGTAGGAGGGGGAGAAAGGGGAGGAGAAGGGCGAGGAGGGGGAGGAGGAGAGGAGGAGGAGGAGGAGGAGGGGAGGAGGAGGGGGAGGAGGAGGAGGAGGAGGAGGGAGGAGGAGGAGGAGAGAAGGAGGAGGAGGAGGAGGAGGAGGAGGCGAAGAAGGAGGAGGAAAAAGGAGGAGGAAAAGGAGGAGGAAAAGGAAGGGGAATAGAAAAAGGAGGAGGGGGAGGAGGGAGGAGGGGGTAGGAGGGGGAGAAAGGGGGAGGGAGAAGGGCGAGGAGGGGGAGGAGGAAGAGGAGGAGAAGGAGGAGGAGGGGGAGGAGGAGGAGGAGGAGGAGGAGGAGGAGGAGGAGGAGGAAGAGGAGCAGGAGGAGCAGGAGGGGGACCAGAAGGAGGAGGAGAAGGCACTCCGGACCTTCCCAGCCAGCATGCCCCTTTGAAACCGAAAGGTACTGATACCGCTGCTCTCCGAACCTCTTCCAGGGCTCGTTCTGAGCAGAATTTCCAAGCGAATCCAGCGGTGGCAACGCGGACCTTCCAGGAGGAACAAACGGGCACAAAGGCAGTATCGGTACTTCATCTGGCTACCTACCAAACCACCCCAACCCAACCCGAAGTCACCGCTGGGCTCGTCCATTTCCGCCGGGGGGCCCTCCAGAACATTGAGGAAGCACGACGGGACCCGTACCACACCCCGACCCGGAATTGGGGGGGTCTAGGGCCTTCGGGTTTTGGGTGGGGGGTGGTTTGGCAGGTTCTGAGTTTCCTCCTCTGATTCCCATGGCCCCTCCAGGTGTGGCCGTCACTCGGCCCGCAGCGCACCCAGCAGGCGCGCCACCGCCAGCGGCGGCAGGGCCGGACCGAGCCGCGGGCTGCCGGCGAGCCCCTGCACTGCCCAAGGGCCCAGGCGAGCGGTCGCGATCGAAGATGGCGCGCGAAGGAGAGGAAGACGAAGATTAACAAAAACAAAACCAATATGAATATAATTATGGTAACAACAACAACAACAACAACAACAACAACAACAACAACAGCAGCAGCAACAACAACAACAACAACAACAACAACAACAACAACAACAACAACAACAACAACAACAACAACAACAACAACAACAACAACAACAACAACAACAACAACAACAACAACAACAACAACAACAACAACAACAACAACAACAACAACAACAACAACAACAACAACAACAACAACAACAACAACGACAACAACAACAACAACGACAACAACAACAACAACGACAACGACAACGACAACGACAACGACAACGACAACGACAACGACAACGACAACGACTACAACTATAACCACAACAACAAAAACAACAACCACCACAACCACAACCACAACCACAACCACAACCACAACAACAACAACCACAACAATAGCAGCAGCAGCAGCAGTAACAACAACAGCAGCAGCAACACCAACAGCAACAACAACAACAACCACGACAACAGCAACCACAACAACAACAACCACAACAACAACCACAACAGCAGCCGAAACAACAGCAGCAACAACAACAGCAACAACGACAACGACAACCACAGCAACAGCAACAACAACAACAACAAAAACAACAACAGCAGCAACAACAACAACAACAGCAACAACAACGACAACAGCAACAACAACAGCAGCAACAACAGCAGCAGCAGCGGCAGCAACATCAACAGCAGCAGCAGCGGCGGCAACAACAGCAGCAGCAACAGCAGCAACAACAGCAACAACAGCAACAAACATGTTAAGGCTGATCGTTCTTATCTGCTCGCGTGCCATTCAACATGTATACCCCAAACACTCGATACCCGCCCCCTTCGTCTTCGATCGTACCCCCTTGGGGTGTACATCTTTCTTAACTGCGACGTGTATTTCGTGCAGCCCTGAGGCAGGGGAAGAGAGTACGGATGGAAGGAAGGGACAGCAGGGAAGGAGGAGGATGGAGCACGAGAGAAAGTAGCAGGAGGGAATGAGCAGAAAACACGTGGCAGAACAAGACAGGCAGATCGGGCGGATAGACCCTAACGGGCGAGTCGGGAAGGCGGGCCCAGGCGGCCAGGTCGAGCAGGCGGGTTGCTGAAGCGTGCGTTCTGTATGAATCGCGAGGAAGTCTCGAGCGATAGCGCGATTCCCAAAAAAATCGTATGGGAACTCCACAGCGAGAGCGTGATTCCTGAGTGTCCAGGGCGCGGCGTCTGAATAAATTGCGAGGAAATCCCACGCGAGAGCGCAATTCCTGCATAGATTGTAAGGGGGTCCCGCGCGAGAGCGCGATTTGGGAATAACTTGTGAGAAGTATCAAGCGGGAGCCGCTATTGCTGCAAACCCGGGGCCAACAGCCCAATTCTGAGACTCAAAACGTTCCCTGAAGAAAAGCAGGGTCAGAGCCCCAGGAAGGCACTTCAATTAAATTGGCCTGGCGAAGGACCCAACCATATGCAGTTGTGAGTACCGCAGTTGTGAATATCGTCCTCGGTGGAGCTCCTTATGGCGGCCGCGAACTGTGTGAGGGGCCTGCCAGTGGTGGTGGTGGTGGGGAACCGCATGCGGGCACCCCCACTGGGGCCTTCGGTGGAGCTCCCTATGGGGCCACGAAACGCTGCCCTGGGTGGGGGAACCGCATGCGGACACCCCCACTGGGGCCTGCGGTGGAGCTCCCTGTGGGGCCACGAAACGCTGCCCTGGGTGGGGGAACCGCATGCGGGCACCCCCACTGGGGCCTACGGTGGAGCTCCCTGTGGGGCCACGAAACGCTGCCCTGGGTGGGGGAACCGCATGCGGGCTCCCCCACTGGGGCCTTCGGTGGAGCTCCCTGTGGGGCCACGAAACGCTGCCCTGGGTGGGAGGAGGAGGAGGAGGAGAGGCAGAAAGTGGAGGAGGGAAGAAGGGGGAGGAAAGGCGTGCAGGAGCGGGGCGCCACGCCGCCGGCCGGGAGAAAGCGCGAAGGGGCCCGGCGGCTCGGCACGGCGGGAGCTTGGGAAGCCCAGCTGGACACGCGCTGCACCGGCGCGGCACGGACAGCAAGTGCGGTCGGGAACTCGGCCGCATCGCCGCGCCCCGCCCGCGTGAGCCGGCCAGAGTACCCGGCACGGCACGGGCATCTGGCGCAGGATATACGGACGTCTGGCGTGGGGTGTGCAGGCGCTCTGGCGCCGCACTGGCCGCGGCACGGTACGGTCGGGAGCTCTGGCCCGGCGTGTCGCGGCGGCGGCCCCCCGCGAGACGCCGTGCCCTGCGAGCGGGCAGGGATCGGGGAACAAACAGTGACATAAACACAAAAACTCGGAGGTCCGCGCGACTTTCTCGGATCTGCGCTGGGGCCCCCCGGCGGCGCCTCCGGCGCCGCCCCCGGCGCGCTCCGCGCGCCGGGGAGGAGGGTCCAGCGCCGTCTCCGAGAAGTCCGCGCGGACCTCCTGGTTTTTATGTGTTTATGCCACTGTTGTTCCCCTAGAGGTGGCTCTCTGCTCGGCGGGGCGGAGGGCCGGGAAGGGCTCGGGGGGCGTCGACGCGCGGGGGCTGGGGCTTGGCTGGCGTGTCGCGCCGACGCGCGGTGGAGAGCCGGGGGCGCGGGCAGGCTCAGCACGCGTTCCTGCCGGCATCGGCGCTGCATGCAGAGGCCACGCAGCCGGCGACGCACGAGCGGACCATGTGACAACCAGCACGAGGTGTCCCTCGGCGGCCGGCGATGATGGCAACGACTGGGACAGCGAAGATGAGAATATCGAATTGGGGCTTGATTCGGACACGCGATCTGCTAAATACTCTCCTGTCGTCCGCTCTGCTCGACGCTCAGAGTCAGAGCGGGCTCGGCAATCCCCCGAAGCAAACCTCATGCCGCATCCACCTCCTTCTCAGCCAACCCGTCCTTTTCCAGAATCACGTTCCCCTCCTACCATTCATCTCACCAGCATCGCCGTCGTGTTTCATAGTGTCATCATCAACTACATCACCACCTCCACCACCACCATATCACCATCATCATCGTCATCATCAGCATCAACACAATCACCATCATTGTCGTCATCATCATCATCATCATCATCATCATCATCATCATCATCATCATCATCATCATCATCATCATCATCATCATCATCATCATCACAGTCATCATCATTACCACCGTCATCACCATCATCATCAGACCTATTATTATCTCCACCACCATCAACATCATCATCAACATCAGCAGCAACAGCATGATCACCATCACCATCATCATCAGCATCACAGTCACCACAACAACAACAACAACAACAACAACAACAACAACAACCACAACCACAACAACAGCAGCAACAGCAATAGCAACAGCAGCAACAACAATCATTTAAAGACTCTTCGCTCCTGTCTAATCGAGTGCCATTCTACAAGTATATACCAAACCCTCGATACCCGCCCTTTTCGTCTTCTATCGCATCCCCTTGCGAGTATCTCTTCCTTACCTGCCACGTGTGTTCAGCGCAGCCCTCAAAACAGGGGAAGAGAGGACAGACGGAAGGGGGAGGGAGAAGCATGGAGCACGAGAGAGTAGCAGGAGGGGGGCTAGGAGCAGAAAACACGTGGCAGAACCAGACAGGCAGATCGGGCGGGTAGACCCTAACGGGCGGGTCCAGAAGCGGGCCCAGGCGGCCAGGTCGAGCAGACGTGTTGCTGAAGCGTGCGTCCTGCATGAATCGGGAGGTCTCAAGCGGTACCGCGATTCCCAAGTAAATCGTGAGAAAGGCCAGAGCGAGAGCGTGATTCCTGAGTGTCGAAGGCGCGGCGCTTGAATAAATTACGGGGAAATCGCACGCGGAAGCGCGAGTCCGGCATAAATTGTGAGGAAGTCCCGCCCGAGAGCGCGATTCCGAAATACATTGTGAGGAAGTATGAGGCGGGAGCCGTTGTTGTTGTTGTTGTTGTTGTTGTAAACCTGGGGCCAACAACCCAGTTTGGTGACCCCAAACTTTCCCCGATAGGAAACAGGGTGCGAGGACAGGGAGGAGCATTCGAATTGAAAAAAACTGAATGGTCACCAAGAGGGGGATAAACAAGAATCATTATTTTGAAAAGAGGATTCAACAACAACAATAATAACAACAACAACAACCAACCACTACAACAGCAGCAGCAACAACTTCAATCACAACCACAACCACAACCACAACAAGAGCAACAGCAACAGCAACAACAACAACAACAGCAGCAACAACTGCAACAACAACATCAGCATCATTGTCATCAGCATCATCGTCATCATCTTCATTAGCATCATCATCAACAGCATCATCAGAACAAGCATCATAATCATCAGCATGATCACAATCATCCTCATCCTCATCATCATCAGCAGCAGCATCAGCATCAGCATCAGCATCAGCATCAGCATCACCACCATCGTCCTCCTCCCGTTCCTCCCCCTCCCTCCTGCCCGCCTCCTCCCCTTCGCGGGCCCACGACTCCAAGCCTCCGAGCTGGCCGCACCAAGCCACTGCAAGAGAAGCAAAGCCGCATACGCCACAGGCAGAGGAAAGCAAGGGGAGGAGCGAAGAGAGACAACGCGCCCCACCGCCAGGCCTGGGCGTCGGCAGCGGCGGACCGCTGGCGCACGTACGCCCCGGCCAGCATGGGGACCTGCCCCTCCCGGGCCTGCCCAGCCCTCGCCAGGACCCGGCGACCGTCCAGAGACGACCGAAGTGAACCCCACCCTCCCCCTCAGAAATCGTGAGGGGTAGGGGTAGGGTTCGCATGTGGCCCCCTATGGGAAAAGCTGCTCCTGGCGACGAGGGTCGAGACCTCTCGGGCCCCGCGCCACCGCGGCCCTGGAAGAAGAGACAGAATTGAGCAACACACAAGCGCTCGGAAGCCCGCGCGGATCGCTGGAGCAGGGAGCGGGACGGGGGAGGGGGAGAGGGAGGGGGAAGGGGAAGGGGAAGGGGAAGGGGGAGGGGGATGAGAAGGAGGAGGGGGAGGAGAGGGACGAGGAGGAGGAGGAGGAGGAGGAGGAGGAGGAGAATGAGGCGAAGAAGGAGGAGGAGGAGGAGGAGGAGGAGGAGGAGGAGGAGGGAGGGGAGGAGGAGGAAGAAAAGGAGGAGGAGGAGGAGGAAGAGGAGGAGGAGCTGGAGACGCCGCCAGGAGGCCCAGCGCCGCGCCAAAAAAGCCAGGAAGTCCCAGCGCCGATCCCGGAGATGCGCCGGCACTTCCGGAAAAAGGTACATTCGCATCGTCTTTCGGGGAACGACAGCTGACCACCTCACCGATCCTGGCCAGGCCCATCCTACTACCCTGGTGAAAACGAACCTCAAAATGGCGGACACGCCCCTTCGAGGTCGGCACGCCATTCAATGTCAATACGACGCTCCCCCTAGGTCGGGGCAAGGGCAAAGGTGGTCTGACCAGGAGCGAGTCGGAGGTTCGACGATGCCTGACATGGGAGGGGCGGCCCATACCAGTCCCTCGCATTCATCGCTACTCAAGCAAATATATTCCCGTACACTATGCAGCTACGTGAGGCATTTCTGAGGTTATACATACATGTATACATAAAAATAGACCTGCATATTGTGTATGTATATATATATATATATATATATATATATATACATATGTGTATATGTATGTGTGTGCAGCATGTGTACAACTATATATATATATATATATATATATATATATATATATATATGTCCGCCGGCCCCCTTGTGGGGCCACCAGGCTGTAGGCGCGGGTTCGCAGTTTCCTGTACCAGTTGTAGCTTGTAGTTTCCAGTGTTACTAGTTGATTTCTTGCTGGACTGTAACTAGCTGATTGACCGCGCGAGGGGGGGGGAGGCCCAAACAGAATTTTTAGCCTCACCTAGGCGCGTTGTCTGAATTGCTGGGGGGGCTCGAAATCGACACCCCTCACGCAGATCCGCGGGGTCAGGGTCCAAAAACACATGGGGTTTGCCACATTTCTGAAAGTCGGTGCCACCCCTCACGCAGATCCGCGGGGTCAGGGTCCAAAAACACAAGGGATTTGCCACATTTCTGAAATTCGGTGCCACCCCTCACGCAGATCCGCGGGGTCAGGGTCCAAAAACACATGGGATTTGCCACATTTCTGAAATTCGGTGCCACCCCTCACGCAGATCCGTGGGGTCAGGGTGCCACATGTCTGAAATTCGGTGCCACGCCTTACGCAGATCCGCGGAGTCAGGGTCCAAAAACACATGGGATTTGCCACATTTCTGAAATTCGGTGCCACCCCTCACGCAGATCCGCGGGGTCAGGGTCTAAAAACACAGGGGATTTGCCACATTTCCTGAAATTCGGTGCCACCCCCCACGCAGATCCGCGGGGCCAGGGTCCAAAAACACATGGGATTTGCCACATGTCTGAAATTCGGTGCCCCCCCTCACGCAGATCCGCGGGGTCAGGGTCCAAAAACACAAGGGATTTGCCACATTTCTGAAATTCGGTGCCACCCCTCACGCAGATCCGCGGGGTCAGGGTCCAAAAACACAAGGGATTTGCCACATTTCTGAAATTCGGTGCCACCCCTCACGCAGATCCGCGGGGTCAGGGTCCAAAAACACAGGGGATTTGCCACATGGGACCCCTTCCGCGGGGTCAGCCAAAACATTTTGCTACATTTCTGAAATTCGGTGCCACCCCTCACGCAGATCCGCGGGGTCAGGGTCCAAAAACACAAGGGATTTGCCACATTTCTGAAATTCGGTGCCACCCCTCACGCAGATCCAGCGGGGGGCCATCACCAAAAACACAAGGGATTTGCCACATTTCTGAAATTCGGTGCCACCCCTCACGCAGATCCGCGGGGTCAGGGTCCAAAAACACAAGGGATTTGCCACATTTCTGAAATTCGGTGCCACCCCTCACGCAGATCCGCGGGGTCAGGGTCCAAAAACACAAGGGATTTGCCACATTTCTGAAATTCGGTGCCACCCCTCACGCAGATCCGCGGGGTCAGGGTCCAAAAACACAGGGGATTTGCACATTTCTGAAATTCGGTGCCACCCTTCACGCACATCCATCGCAAGGCGTGGTAACCCAAACTGCGAGAACTCCCTCGGCCCTTTAATCGCAAGGTGTGGTAACCAAGCCCGTAAACCATACACGTCTTACCAATCGCCAGGTGTGGTAACCCCTCTTGTGATCAATTGGTTTTGCTGATTGCGAATCGGCTTCGCATGAAGTTTCGATACTGCTTCACGACAGCGCCAAGGCCTCATGACTTAGCTCTTCCATGGCCCATTCTCCGAGAGAGGGGGCCGGCGGCAGGGGGCGAAGCCCTTACGGGTATATATATATATATATATATATATATATATATACATGAAAGTATGTATATATATATATATGTATAAATATATGTGTGTATCCACCGATCCGGCGTGTGAACTGCAAGGAGCCTCAGCAAGAGCTTCAGCTCTGAGCCTAAGCAAGAGCTTCAGCTCGGCTTGGGGGGGGTCGCCGGGGTGACTCTGCCGGGGAAGAAAAGAAGGAAGGGGGGGGGGGAGGCGGTCCTCCATCTGGCGTTTTCTTCATGATTTGCGCATCCGGACCCCCCCCTGGGAAAGGGGGGAGAGGGGGGGTGGCGGTCCCCCATGTGGCGTTTTCTTAATGGTTTGCGCATCCCCAAGATTTTTCGGGGGGTCCTAGGGACCCCCCTCAGATCTAGCCGCTACCGCCCCCAGGACCCTCCCCTCGTAACCCTCCCCGAACCCCCCCCCCGGGACCGCTCCAAGCACCCCCCCCAGAGGAGAAGAAAGAGGACCGGAAGAATCGAGGAGGGAGGAGGCCACAGAGCCGCGAAGATCACCGAATCCGGAGCCCCCCGGATCGGCGGCACTGGCCGGAGGCCATTACAATACAGATAGATAGGTCGATAGATAGATAGATAGATAGATGGATAGATAGATAGATACGCCCTCCCTGTTTGGCCAGGGGCGGTGCGTGCGCGCCGATCCGGGGCCCGGGGTCGGCCTGGCCAGGATCGACGTGGTGGTCCGCTGGTGTCCCCCCAGTGTGGGAGGGGCCCAAGGACACACAAATAAGCATACAAAAACACACACACACAAACACACACACACACACAAACAACAAAAAACAGGATTCCCCATATTTCCCGATACTTTCTGGCCTTTCGTCTTCCCCCCCCCCCACACGCCCCACAGGTTCTCATGTTTTCCGGGGGGATCGACGACGTCTGACTGTGTCTGTGGTTTTTGTTCCCCTCCTGACATGCGTTTCTTCCTCGGATGTCTGGAGATGCTGCCCCCCACCCCAGGCTCTGTGCGCCCAGCGCCCAGCCCTGGGCATGTGACCGGGCCCTCGAGTGCTGAGGACCAAGAAGTCGAGAACTTCTGTACCACCTTGTTGGTTCTTGCGAATCGACGCTGCTCGATACCAATCGACGCTAAAACGACGCTAAATCGACGCTACGCAACATCGGCGCTATCTCATCGACTACCTGACGCTAGTCGAAGCTAGTGCACTCTAAAAGCGAGATAACGAGGGTGTACAAGGCTCCCAGTATCTGCTACCGAAGAGAGTTATGACCAAGGCTGAATGCGGAAACATCGGTGCCGAGCTTGGTCACCGTCCATCTTGGTCACCCTCGATTCGTGGATCCTCCTCAAGATATTGGCGACGGTCGGCATGAACCATGGCCAAGATCGGCACCGACAAGATCGCGCGACAGGTCGGCAGCGCGCAGAGGGGGGGAGGGGGAGGGGGGAAGGCTTCCCAGAAGGAGGCTGCTTCTTGAAGGCGCCGGACCTGCATTTGCAGACAAGGCCCGCGCCTTCTCAGAAGCCTTCCCCTCGCCCCCTGCCCCTCTCGGCGCCGGGCCGATCCTCTCTCTAGCGTGTGCAAAAAAGGGGGGCGGCTTGGCCCGTGCATCAGGTCGGAAGAACAATTGGAAATTCATTGTTTTGACATTAATACTTTTTAGTTTTAAAGAAAGAGGAGGAGGAGGAGGAGGAGGAGGAGGAGGAGGAGGAGGAGGAGGAGGCGGAGGAGAGGAGGAGGAGGAGGAGGAGGGGGGGAGGAAAGGAGGAGGAGGATGGTCGAAAAGTCGTCCCCAGACTATGTCCTGCCTGCTTTGGGACAGGGCCTCCTGCAGAGGGACGTGCCCGACGTGGCCCGTGCACGCCACGCCGGGCCTCCCGCGGCCGCCCGGGGCCCGCGGAGGACGGGCCCGGGCCGCCCAGGCAGGCCCCGAGCAGGCGCCGCGCAGGCGCCGCGCGCGGGCAGCGCGGGGCAGGCGCGGGGCAGGCTGGGCGGGCAGCTCCGGGGCCGTCCAGGGGCCCCCTGGGGGGCCACGCTCTCCTCCTCCTCCTCCTCCTCCTCCTCCTCCTCCTCCTCCTCCTCCTCCTCCGCCTCCTCCTCCTCCTCCTCCTGCTCCTAGATCTATGTTGCTCCTATCGTACTTAAGAACCACATTCCAGAAACAATTCCGAGCACCCAGAGAAGAAGTATCGAAGCAGTGTCGAACCAGTATCGCCTCCCACAAGGCCCGACACGTGAGAAGCCTCCAGGTTCGGTACTTTCCTAGTGCTCGAAGTTCTTTCTGGTGATGAAGGTGAGAGTAGGGTGGAACATTTCAATCCTAGATGGATGGGGGCGGAGTTAGATGGGGTCGGGGCATCGCACAGCATCGCCGATGCATCGGCGATGCGTCGTCGACGCGGGCGACGCATCGGCGACGTCGGCGTGGAGAAAATCGGGCTCCGCATCGAGCCGCACTGGCGATGCATGGGCAATGCGGCGCGATCTTCCGACCCCATCTACTCCGACCCCATCTAGGAGCCCTAGATCGAAGGGGCCTAGGGACACACACAAACAAGTACACACGAATCCCAGCAGTCTACCCACATCTTCACATATGTTCTGGACGTTCGTCCTCCCCTCCACTCCCCATATTTCTCCATATCTTCCTGAGCACCGGCGATAATCCCACCAGCCCTCTGGGCGTCAGTGGTTTAACGAGTTTCCTCTTCCACCCCTCCCTCTTCCCCTTCGGGGAGGGGTTTACCCCTCCCCCTACCCCCTCCCCACTGACCTGGACAGGGGGTTCCGCGGCGCGTTGGAGCGCCCAAGATGGCCCAAGACGGCTCCAAGAGGGCCTCAGGGAGCCCAAGATACCCTCCAAGATGGCTCAAGATAGCGCAAGATGCCTCAAGATGGTCCCCATGATGTTCCAAGACGTTCCAAGAACTCTCCAAGACGGTTCCAAGTGCCCACAAGAGCATCATTAGGATGCATCCAAGAGGCCAAAATGCTTCAAAACCCTAGGGAAAATCAATGTTTTTGGTGTTCTCACTTTTTCGCTTGCGATGCACATCCGAGGCGTCAAGATGGCTCCAAGATGGCTCAAGATAGCTCCAAGAAGGGCCCAAGAAAGCCCCATGACGGCGCCAAGAGCGCCGAAGAGCGCTCCAAGAGCGGTCCCAGAGCGGTACAGGAGACGATTTTTGGAGTTCCTGGGGGAGGCTCTAATTAAGGAACCCCACTTCCTTGGCCGATGTCCTCCACGATGGCCGCAAGAGGCCCCCAGGATGCCCCAAGAGGCCGCAGGATGGCCCCAAGATGGCCCCAAGAGGCCCCCCAAGAGGCCCCCAGGAGGCCCCCAAGAGACCCCCAAGAGGCTCCAAGAGACCCCCCAGAGGCACCCAAGGTGCTCCCAGAGGCCCCAGAGGCACCCAAGGTGCTCCAAGAGACCCCCCAGAGGCCCCAAGATGGCCCCAAGAGGCCCCAAGAGGCCCCCAGGAGGCCCCAAAGAGGATCCCGAACGGCCCACAGAGGCCCCCCCGAGGCACCCAAGACGCCGAAAAGCCCCTCAGGACGACCCTCTACTCGCCTGGGCGTCGTTTCTGGACGGGCTGGTGGGGATATATTTTTTTTTTTAGAGCAAGGCGGACGCGCCAGCGGCGGGAGGTCAACTGGTGGGGATACGCGAAGCGTCTAGAATTTGTGGCTGTATCTGTTTTTCCCTCTGCAGAGCTGTAGCACAGCTTGGCCCAAACATCCTCCCGTTGTGGAAAAGTACATCTTGAAGGAACACCACGGAAGGCTTTGTTACAGCTTCTCGGCCTCTGGGGGCCCTCCCCGTGCCCCAGGCTGTCAGAATGAGAAGCTAATCCCGGGGAAGGGGCCCAAGCCCCTGAGGAGAAAAGAACACGACGCAGGGTGGCTGCGGGCGTCCTTGGGCGGCCTTGGGCGGCCTCCGGGGCAGCCTGGTGAGCCTTGGACAGCCTCAGGCACCCTTGGGAGCCTTGGGCGGCCAAATCCCTCAGATCCAACCGAGGCGCCAAAAAACTCGCGGCGTCCGATTGTTGGCCGGTTTCGGCCTCCGGTGGCGAGGCTCCCTGGCCCCAAGGCCGTGAGCAAACGACTCGGGATGAGAGGCCGGCCCAGGGAAGGGCTCCAAAAGTACGAACCAAACAACAGCGCGCCGCGAAAGGCCAACAGCATCGGGCCAGCGTGCCGGCTGCGACCGTGCCGGCACTGGATGTGCGCCTCCAGCTCGGCACGGCACGCGCTGGCAATTTGACGGCGACCCCGACTGTCATCTGCAACGGCAGCAATGCAGAATACACACATGCTACTCTCTCTCTCTCTGTCTCTCTCCCTCTCTATCTATTTCTCAATCTCACTCTCTCCCTCTCTACCGAGATACATATATACACATCGGTCACGATCACCTCACTCATGATGCGGTATGTACTGCAGCATGGTCTCTTTGCACGAAGCGTCAAACGGGAAGACCCTCCCCCTGTGACGCTCAGCATGACGTCCTCTGCGACTGGAGCAGCGAGCCTCGGAAGCGCGCGGGCGCCTCCCCTTCACCGCATGAGGCAGGAGAGAGGCGCAACCCACTGCCGCGAACGGACTGCTCACCAAGACCAATTCCTCACGACCGCGGTGAAGTCACACGACCGCAATGTTTGCATTCGAGTGTATTTTGTATCCCCTGGCGCGTAGTGGTCGTTACCCTGGCCGAACCCTCCCCCCACCAGACAACGGTAACGACGGTACGCGGGGGGGGGGCCTGGACCCCCCCACATGCTGGTGCCCGAGGGCACGTGGTGCTGCTTGCAGGTCCTCCGCAAGCGCCCCGCCAGTGCTCGCAGGCGCCCTGCCGGTGCTGCCAGGCGTTGCGCAGGTGATCGCCTCGCAGGCCCGCGTTGTGCTCACAGGCACCGTGTCGCGTTTCACGCGCAAGCCATGGCGATCACAACGCACCCCCCCCCCGACGTGCCCCACCCCGCCCAAGCGTTACCATTACCCTGGCCCCACCCAAACCCTCGATAACGAGCGCTACGAGGAAATAACAGGAAAACGATCTCTATCTTGACGGCGCTCGGTCCGAAAGGCGGCGAGGTGGACATACCCCATTATCATTGTCCTTCTCTTCCTCCTCCCTGCCCCGCCAGTACGTCCTCCTCTTCCTCCTCCTCCTCCTCTTCCTTCTCCTCGTCTTCCTTCTCATCCTCCATCATCATCAGCACCATCCTCACCATCATCAACAACAACGACGACGACAACAACAGCAGCAGCAGCAGAAGCAACAACAACAGAAATAACAACAGCAGCAACAGCAACAACCACAACCACAACAACAACAACAAAAACAACAACTACTACCGCTACCGCTGCCGCTACCGCTACCGCTACCGCTACCGCTACCGCTACCGCTACCGCTACAGCTACTACTACTACTACTACTACTACTACTACTACTACTACTACAACTACTACTACTACTACTACGACTACGACTACGACTACGACTACGACTACGACTACTACTACGACTACGACTACGACTACGTACTACGACTACGACTAATACGACTACGACTACTACTACTACTACTACCATAATTCTACCTCTTCTACTCCTACTCCTACCCTACTCCTACTCCTACTCCTACTCCTACTCCTACTCCTACTACTACTACTACTACTACTACTACTACTACTATCTACTACTTCTAACTACGACTTACTACACTACGACTACTTACTACTACTACTACACTACTACATACTACTACTACTACTACTACTAACAAGCTAATAATAATACTAATAATACTACTAATACTACTATTCCTACTATTACTACTACTACTTACTACCACCACCAACCACCACCACACCACCACCACCACTCCACACCAACCACTACTACTACTACTACTACTACTACTACTACTACTACTACTATACTACTACTACTACTACTACTACTACTACTACTACTACTACTACTACTACTACTACACTACTACTACTACTACTACTACTACCTACTACTACTAATACTACTACTACTACTACTACTACTACTACTACTACTACTACTACTACTACTACTACTACTACTACTACTACTACTACTACTACTACTACTACTTCTACTCCTACTACTACTACTACTACTACTACTACTACTACTACTACTACTACTACTGCTCTTACAAAAGCGACAGCAACAGCAACAGCACCATGTCAATCATAGTCATCATCATCATCAGCAGCAGCATCATCAGCATCAGCATCATCGTCATCCTCATCACCATCATAATCGTGATAGAAACAATAATCACCATCATCCTCATCATCAGCATCATCATCAAAATCATCATCAGCAGCATCATCATCATGGTCACCGTCACCGTCGTCATCACCACCATCATCACCGCTGTCATCATCATTATCATCAGCAGCAGCAGCATCACACCAGCATTATCATCACAATCGTCATCACCACCATCACCACCATCATCATCGGCATCATCATCATAATCATCAGCGACATCACCATCAGCACCTCCATCATAAGTTCCAGCATCATCCTCATCCTCCTCATCATCATCATCATCATCATCATCATCATCATCATCTTCATCATCATCGTCATCATCATCGTCGTCGTCAGAATCGTCATCATTATCACCACCAGCCCACCACCACCACCATCATCATCGTCGTCCTCCTCCTCCGCCACCTCCTCCGCCTCCGCCTCCGCCTCCTCCTCCTCCTCCCCCTCCCTCATCCACCTCCTTCGGTTTCCTTCGGCTTCGCGGGCAAGTGTCCCGCACCACATGGCTGCAAGACACAAGCCGTAAGCTCCAAATCCTCCTCCTTCCCCCCCTTTCGGCGTCCCTGATCGCTGCCTCCGACGCCTGGCCTTCGGGCCGACGTCGAGCCCCGCCCCACCAACGGGCCCACAGGAGGCCGACCCCCCCTTGGAGGCATGCCAGGCCCGGCCCTGCGAGATCCTCCCCTCTGCAGGAGCAGTCAGCATCGGATCGGAAGGTCAGGTGGCGACATCCGAACCCTACCCCACCAACCACCGATCCTCCTCAATCGATGGGAGGCGGGGGTAGGGTTCGGACTTCGACACGTGTTCGACGAATTCCGAACCCTACCCCCGCCGCCCATCGAGTCGCCAAAATCGTTGATTGTCAAGAACAAAACTCGGATTTCGCCGCTGGGAGGTCGGACCGTGCGCCTGTTCGGGCTGCACCGGCACGGAGGCGAGGTCGAATCGGATCGGCCGCGCCAGGATGCACAGCAGCGCCGTGCGAGCATCGGGCCGCATCGCGTCCTCGGAATATCGGGGTCGCATCGGATCGAGTGGGCCAGAACCGGCTTCGACACGGATCGGATCGAAGTGGGCCCTGCTCTGCTGGCCCAGCGGCAGCGGGTGGTTTTCCCCAGGTTGGGTCGGCCTTGCCCGTGACCCAGTCAGTGGCACGGGCAGCGGCGTGTGGTTGGCCTGCGTGGGCAGCGGTGAGAAGGAAGGCCAACGTGGGTGCGCAGTTGTTGGCGCGCCCGTGGACACGCCCCCGCGCTCCCTGCACAGCGGCAGAGACTTCCAGACCTAACCCGACCCTTCCGCTCTGACGGAGCGCTGCCAAGGCGTGCATGTGCGCTTTGTGAATGCGAAAACCATGTGACACAAAATGTTGTCGCCAAGCACTGTACGTCACTGATTTGACTGGTGGTATGTTATCGTATGTCGCTTCACTGTTGCTGATGTACTACTTCAGTCAGCTTGATTGAACTGACTCCTGCCTTCGCATTACACGTTGAATGCCACGGTTTCTTGACGCCACCCTATACGTGCAACCTGTTTGGACGAACGTCTAGGGGGAATCGGGAAGAGGGGACCCCCTTTATCCATGGACCCAGCCATCTCTCACACGATCTATACATGCGATGACGACCTGCTGCCGCACACCCTTATTCACACGGAGACGCCTTGCAACTGAATCAGCATGCCATAATCCCTCGATTGTGGGGAAAAGCAGCCCGGCAAGGGACCCGCCATGGACTGCAAGATCTGCTCCCTCTACCACTCCGCTGTCTGCTTCCCAAGGCAGCCAGGCGTTGTCTCGCGCTGCCTCCGAGCATAAAGGAGGGGGAAAAGGCGAACGACGACGTCGACGGGAGAGGCAGGGAGGTAGCGAAGGGAAGAGGGAGGGAACGACTCTGCCGGCGAGGGAAGGAGTCTGCCGCTTCCACCCGCGACCCCAACCAAAGATGATGTCGTCGTAGAGCGGGGAGAGCTTCGGCAGGTGCGCTTCGATGAGCATAGCCATGGCTCCAGACCTGCCTATCCCTTCTGCTAGCCTGCGTCTGGCAACGTGACAAGCCGAAGCCCAGCAGACGAGAACGACGCGAACCAAGACGAAAATAGTGGGGCTCGACATCCGATATCGTAGGGGGCAGGTTGCGAAGCGATGCCGACGGCAAGACCTCGCGGTCGCACTTCACACGAAGAAATAAAAAACCTGTTTCAAAGCTGCTTCCGTGAGCAGGTGAGGGGAAAGGCGAACAATAATACGTCACCAAAACGACCAGCGGAACAAGACATGATGCTGCGGGAAACTCTTGCACAGAAGACCTCGGTTTGCAGAGTGCGCCCGTGCCATCAAGTGTGACACTGGCGCGCAACATCAGCGATAGCAAATAGTTGGAGGGACCCGGGCGAAAGAAAACCTCGCGATAGAGCGATGCGGTGCTAAGCATGCTGGGACAGGATGATGGCACATCAGCGCACGGCAGATGCATTTGAAGGCTCAGTAACCAAAGTAACAGAAGAGCACACACACACAATGAGGGCGGCACGCTATACCATTTCTGCCCCTCCGTTTTTCCCTGCCCGCCGAAGGCGAGTTCGTCTTCCCCTATCCATCAATTTAATCCTCATCCCTCGGTTCCACCTCCTCCTCCTCCTCCTCCGCCTCCTCCTCCTTCTTCTCCTCCTCCCTGGTCCTCCTCATCATCCTCTTCCTCCCCCTCCTCCTCCTCCTCCGCCTCCTCCTCCTAGTCCTCCTCCTCCCCCTCCGCCTCCTCCTCCTCCTCCTCCTCCTCCTCCTCCGTTCCTGTTCCTTATAAATAACTCCTTCCCGTCGCGCCCCGAGGCCGGTCGAAAGGGGGGCGGGCCGACCGTTTCGCCTGAGACGTCCTCACTATTCTATGACCCTGAAACTTTAGAATTGGCGACAGTTTCACGGATTGAGGGCGGGTCGTTGTCAAAATGTAGCTCTCGCCTTGGCGCCGCGCACACTTGTCTTAAAAAACTGCAAGACCTTCACGGATAGAAGGCGGGTGGTTTTCAAAATGTGGCTCTCTCACTAGCGCCACGCACACTCGGTTTAAAAAAAACAGAACTTTCACGGATGGAGGGGGAGGGGTTCACAGTGTGGCTCTCGCCTCAGCGCTGCGCACATTCGTCTCAAAAAGCTGCACGTCTTTCACGGATGGAGGGCGGCTCGTTTTCAAAATGCGGCTCCCGCCTCAGCGCCGCGCACAATCGTCGTTAAAATGCAAGAGCTTCACGGATTGAGGGCGGCTCGTTTTCAGAATGTGGCTGTCGCCCAAGCGCCGCGCAGATTTGCGTTAAACTTTTGCGGGAGTTTCACAGGCTCCCATGGTCAACGCACCAGGAATGGAGGATTGTCGGGGCGCAGCAGTTACGCTGTGTCGCGACGTCGCAGTCCCGGGAACGCAGGGTCGTCAAGACGCTGCAGTCCCGTTGATTCGTGGCGTTGGAGTCCCGAGAATAATGTTTTGCCATGCTTCAGGAACTGCAGACGGTTGTCTCCCAACGGGGCCCTTCCCTCAGTAGACATGGATCCTTGTAGGGGCGTATGAAGAGGGAGCTTGGAGGGAGGGGTCATGCCAACGTCGTTGATGAGTCTTGGGTTTACGCTGGTCCTCCTCCTCCTCCTCCTCCTCCTCCTCCTCCTCCTCCTCCTCATCCTCCTCCTCCTCCTCGTCGCTTTCCCCCTCGTGTGCTCCAGAGCGCTGCCCCCCCACGACTGCAGCCAGGGAGGGGGCAGAGTGCACGCTGGCGCCCTCCCCACGACCTCCGCCGCGCGCAGGCGCCCCGCGCGAAGAGCCGGCAATCGACTCGAAGCTTCGCGGCGAGACGTGGCACGCGGCACCGAGTGGCGCGCGCGGATAGAGGCCTGCGCGCAGAGGATGCTGCGTAGTATGTGTAGGGGTGATCTTGAGACAGGTTCCGCCCGATTAGCGCCCACTGGTGTCCACCAATGTATGGTATTGCCGAATAGCGCCTATTGGTGCCCACTGGCACCTGTCAGTGTCTCTTAGCGCCCGCTAGCGCCTAGCAACGACCACGGATAAGCAGGGATATGCGCTAATAGTCGGGGAAGACAACAACTCATGCTTAAAACGACTCCCACGCATAACACACCGCGAGAGGAGGCCTCCCAGAGAGTATCCTGCAGGCAGCGGCCGAGGGTCCCCGACATCCTCTCGCTGCGAAAAGATCGCGGCGGAGAAGATACGCCAATTTCTGGCCTCCGGGGACCCTCGCCGGTCTCTGTGGCCGTCAAAAAAACGACTCGGGATGAAAGACCGGTCCTGGGGAAGGGGTCCGAACCTCTGTCAGCCACTGTGCGAAAAAATCTCGACGAAGGATGCTGTGCGAAAAAATCTCGACGAAGGATGTCAGGGATGCCATGTCAGGCCGTGGACCACGAGCCCTTCTCTTCGGGCTTCCCCTACTGATCTGCGAATTCCTGGTTCGTTCTCCAGGGCAGCGCGCACCACGAGGCCACCCCGCGGGGAGCCCCCCGTCGCTGACGGCCTCGAGCCTCGAGCCGCGAACCTCGATTCTCGATCCTCGAGCCTCGGGCCTCGAACTTCGAGCTTCGAGCCTGGAACTTCGATCTGGAAAACCTCGAGCCTCGAGCCTCGAGCCTCGCGCATCGATCCTGCTCTCTCCTCCTCCTCCTCGTCCTCCTCCTCCTCCTCCTCGTCCTCCTCCTCCTCCTCCTCCTCCTCCTCCTCGTCTTCCTCCTCGTCCTCATCCTCCTCCTCCTTCCTCCTCCTCCTCCTCCTCCTCCTCCTCCTCCTCCTCCTCCTCCTCCTCCTCCTCCTCCTCCTCCTCCCAGGGCGGAACCAGCTCAGGGGGGGAAGCATCAACATGGAATCGCAACGCATCGCAGACAGGCGCTCAGTGGCGAAGCCGCACGGTCCTGGGCGCATGCGCTATCGGGCCCCTGTCGGCGACGAGTGGGCGAGCGTGGGTCGACGCACCCCCCTTTTGAGCCTGTCCCCCGCTGACTTTGCCCCTGACTCGAGCTCCTTGGAGCGGCAGGTTTTCCCCCCGAGACCGCGCCCCATTTCCAGCCGCCTCGGCCAATCTGGGGCAGTCGGGGTCTTCAAGGGCACGCGGCACCCAAAAATACCACTGCAAGGGAAGCGCATGACAGCGGCACACTGATGGTGCAGGGGGGGAAGACTGAGCTGCACGCGGGAGACTTGCCAGCACAAGACCTGGGGGTCCCAAAATGGTGCGACGACAAACCGTGCAATGACTTGAAAATCCACAAAAACCTCGCCGCACAGTCCGTCACCGCACGTGTTCGGGACCCGGATGGCCTCAGTCGCCCAGGACATCTTCGGAGAACGACCCGAATCCCAAAACCGCGCGGTCACACCGCATCCCCACGGACTCATCACACGGCGTGGTCACCACACTTCGTGGGGGCCCCCAACGCGCAACCGACTCGGGGACCCCAACGACCTTGGCATTGGCATCTCCTTGGGGGGGGGCAACGTATTGTTCCCGCCGGTTTCCGCCGGTGTTCCACCAAGGCCCTGCCCGCGAAGCCGCCGCGGGCAAAGCCCTGCCATGAAGTCCCGCGGATAGGGAACATGGTCCCTTTGTGGGCATCAATTGCGCTTGGACTCGCGAGAAACACCCGTGGAAAGGCCATCGAAGGATCCGAAGAACATGAATGGGGGCATGGCGATCTCAATCCCCCAATTAAGAGAAGTTCGACTGGACCAGACAGTCGGGGCCTCAGTCGAGGATATGCGATAGTGGGGCGTCCATACTCGATACGGGTATGTCCAGATAGCCCGCCCAGGAATGCATCCCTGATGTTCCAATTTGTCATGAACGGTTAGCTTTTTCCGAAGGGACTGGGGGCGAAAAGTCCGAGAAATCCTCTGCGAGAGCTTGGAAACCCGTCCGAAACCACCTTGGGCCTTATATCGGGTGCGCCGGCGGGGGGGGCCAATAACAGAGCGGTTAGCGCATCATGGCTCGAAGCAACTGCGCGGACGAGCGGGGGCCAACGGGCGCAGCGAAAAAATACCCGAAACTTATCCAACCTTTTTTCCTGCATGCTATTCGACGCCTTGCACCAACTTTGTGCACGAACAGACACGTTGCGAGGTATGCGGCGCTGTGCAATGTTTCTCCTAACAACGTCGAGCAACACACGTCGCAAACTTGCTCAGCTCAGATCGCACAAAGCTTCGCGCAACTATGGCTGCGCAACTACGTGGCGACGATTACCACGACGAAGAACATGAAAAGGATGACAAAAATGGACGAGGAGGCGGAGGAGGAGGAGGAGGAAAAGGGGCTGTGAGGACATGGAGGATAAAGGAGGAAGGGGAAGAAATACGAATGAGAGAAACAACGCTAAGGGCTAAATCTGCCCGGTTCGCCAGCGCTGCCGCTGCGGGCGAAATTCGCCTGAACAGAAAGGGGAGTGAGCCAGCAAGGACAACGCCATGCGCTACATGACGCTCCAACGACCAGCGCTCTTTGATGCGACAGCGCCGCGCGCTGAATGAAGGGACAGCGGCACGCGCCATGGCCACCATGCGGGCGCGCGCCCGCCCGTTGTAAACATCGCCGACGGCGCCGCCAATGTTGCAACCAACGGGCACGCTCGCCAAGAACCCGCGCGCAGCTCTCTCCGCATCTCTGTCGCGCAGAAACTTGGCAAGGCACAGCGCGCGCGCCATCTTCAAAGACTGTTTCCTGTAATTCTCCGAGCGGGCACGACAAGTTCGGAGGCGCGCAGCCACGTCCGCTGGCAGCCCACGGGACAGGAAGTCCAAGCCTGGGGCGCGGATGATGCGGAGGTTGTCAGTCGTCGCCCTGGAAAACATGACGTACAGGTGCAATCAAAAAGCGTCGGAGTCGTCGGCGTCTGTGTGCCCGGCCTCCAGCCACGTCCGCTGGCAGCCCACGGGGACAGGAAGTCCAAGCCTGGGGCGCGGATGATGCGGAGGTTGTCAGACGTCGTCGCCCTGGAAAACATGACGTGCAGGTGCAGCCAAAAAGCGTCGGAGTCGTCGGCGTCTGTGTGCCCGGCCTCGACGATAACGGTATCGTGCATGGTCCGCTTCTGGCAAGCCATCGACGTGAGCACCTTGGAGTGGGAGCTGCGAGGTCTCGGCTGGATTTGCGTGGCCCCCCACTCCGCTGGACCTCCCAGGAGACCGCGAAGGTGGCGACTGTTGCGCAGTTCTCAGCAACCCAAGGAGCCGCGAGGTCTCGGCTGGATCTGCGTGACCCCCCACCCCGCTGGACCTCCCATGAGCCCACGAAAATGATGACGGTTGCGCAGTTCGCAGACCCCCAGGGAGCTGCGAGGTCTCGGCGGGATGCGCGTACGCCTCCACTTCGCTGGACCTGCCAGGAGCCTACGACAGTGGCGACAGTTGCGCAATTCGCAGCCACCCAGGGAGCCGCGAGGTCTCGGCCGGATGCGCGTACGCCTCAACTTCGCTGGACCTGCCAGGAGCCCACGACAGTGGCGACAGCTGCGCAATTCGAAGCCACCCAGGGAGTCGCGAGGTCTCGGATGGATGCGCGTACGCCTCAACTTCGCTGGACCTCCCAGGAGCCTACGACGGTGGCGATTGTTGCGCAGCTCGCGGAGCAAAGCAGGAGGAGGCAGGAGGAGGCAGGAGGAGGGTGGCGGAGGAAGAGGAGGTGGAGAGGAGTGGAGACCACAGTGCTGTATTCGAAGCGAGAACCCAGCACACAGGAGGGCTGGGAAGTAAGAAATGGCCCTGAAATCTGAAGATATCACGGCCCTGGCCATGATACCCAAACACCCATAGACCTCAGTCCCCTCCCCAGACCCCCGACGTGTTTTTGTTCAGAACGCGAACCCCGAGGTCTCGACCCACTCTATGGAACCAGCTTTTCATCCTGAATCGTTTTTTACGGTCTCGGGGCCCCTCGAGGGAACCCGGAGGCTGAAAATACCAACAGTCTCTGGGATAACCGCGGGCGTTGCTAAGAGGATAGGGGGCGTAGGAGCGGATGCTAAGATGGGTTATACCTGGCCACACCTTGCTCACAAGTGTGAATGCGGATCGCACACGATCTGCGAGTGACTGGCTCGATGCCAGCGCCAGCATCGAATACGACCACTCTCCTTCCCACGCCTTCGGCACCAGCAAGGACCGAGCAGCGCCAGCGACGGCGGCAGCGGATGACGGGATCGGGCGAGGGGCGCCGCTTTCGTGCGCGCTCGCGCCTGCAAGTGGCTGCCCCCCTGGTGGAGCCGTCTGGGCTCTCACGGCAATAAGCAAATCCGCGGATGCCAGAATGCTCAGGCAGACAGCAGGCTCCTCCGACGCCCTAACCCAGTTCCCCCAAAATGCACGATCTGCACTGCCCTCACCTCCGCCGTGCCTCCCACGGGCCCACGAGAAGGGGCGACGACTTCGCACTCCGCAGCCTCCCAGGGAGCCACGCGAGGTCTCGGCTGGATCCACGTGGCCCCCGACTCCGCTGAGCCTCCCAGGAGCCCATGACAGTGGCGACAATTGCGCAGTCCGCAGCCACCCCCAGGGAGATGCGAAGTTTCGGGTACTCCGCGACTCCGCCGTGCCTCCCAGGAGCCCACGGAAGTGGCGACGGCTGCGCAGGTCGCAGCCACCCAGGGAGCAGCGAGATCTCGGGTACTCCGCTACTCCGCCGTGCCTCCCCCGGAGCCCACGAAGGTGGCGACAGCTGCGCAGTCCGCAGCCACCCGGGGAGCTGCGAGGTCTCGGGTATACTCCCCGACTCCGCCGTGCCTCCCAGGAGCCCTCGAGATCGGCGACAGTTGCGCAATTCACACCCACCCAGGGAGCTGCTGGTTCTCGGGTACTCCGCTACTCCGCCGTGCCCCCCAGGAGCCCACAAGGGTGTCGACAATTGCGCAGTCCGCAGCCACCCAGGAAGCTGCGAGGTCTCGGGTACTCTGCTACTCCGGTTTGCCCCCCAGGAGCCCTCGACATCGGCGACAATTACGCAGTCCGCAGCCACCAAGGGAGCCGCGAGGTCTCGGCAGGATGCGCGTGCGCCTCAACTTCGCTGGACCTCCCAGGAGCCTACAACAGAGGCGACAATTGCGCAGATTGCAGCATACCAGGGAGCAGCGAGGTCTCAAATGGGTGCGCGTGGCCCCCGATCCCCGCTGGACCTCCCAGGATCCCACGAAAATGGCGACGATTGTGCAGTTCGCAGCCACTCGGGGAGCTGCGAGGTCTCGGGTACTCCCATGCTCCGCCGTGCCTCCCAGGAGCCCACGAAAGTGTCGACGGCTGCGCAGTTCGCAGTCACCCAGCAAGCTGCGAGGTCTCGGATATTCCGCTACTCCGCCGTGCACCCCAGGAGCACACGAAAGTGACGACAGTTGCCCAGCTCGCAGCCACCAAGGGAGCAGCGAGGTCTCAAATGGGTGCGCGTGGAGGAGGGGGAGGAGGGAAAGGAGAAGGAGAGGACGCAGCTGTGCGACGGCAGTGCCCTATTCAACGGAGGTTCCAACACAGGAGGGTTGGGAAATTACCCGAGACGTACCCAACCCCTTCTCCACGCGAGGCGAACAGTTGCATGAACGCTCCATGCCCAAGAACAAGCCACGTATGCACGATCAGCGCTGCCCTCATCTCCGCCGAGCCTTCGCACTTTGCAGCCTCCCAGGAAGCCGCGAGGTCTCGGCTGGATCAGAGTGGCCCCCGACTCCGCTGGGCATCTCAGGAGTCCATGAAAGTGGCGACAAATTTGCATTTCGCATCCCCACAGGGAGATTCGAAGTCTCGGCTGCTGTCGCGTCCTCCCCTAATCCGCTGAGCCTCCCAGAAGCCCACGAAGGTGGCGACTCTTGCACAGTCCGCAGCGCCCCAAGGAGCTGGGAGGTCTCGGATTCCGCCGTGCCTCCCAGGAGCCCACGAAGATGGCGACAGCTGCGCAGTTCGCAACGCCCCAGGGAGCTGCGATATATCGGCTGGGTCTCGGGTACTCCCCGACTCCGCCGTACCTCCCAGGAGCCCACGAAGGTGGCGACAACTGCGCAATTCGCAATCACCCAGGGAGCTGCGAGGTCTCGGGTACTCCCCTAATCCGCCATGCCCCCCAGGAGCCCACAAGGGTGTCGACAATTGCGCAGTCCGCAGCCACCCGGGGAGCTGCGAGGTCTCGGGAACTCCCCGACTCCGCCGTGCCTCCCAGAAGCCCACGAAAATGTCGACAATTGCGCAAGTCGCAGCCACCCAGGAAGCTGCGAGGTCTCGGGAACTCCCCGAGTCCGCCGTGCCTCACAGGAGCCCACGAAGGTGGCGACAGCTGCCCAGTTCGCAGCCACCAAGGGAGCAGCGCAGGAGGAGGGGGAAGGAGGGGGGAGGGAGAACGAAGGAGGAGGAGGAGGAGGAGGAGGAGGAGGACGCAGGTGTGCGAACACAATGCTCTATTGAAAACGAGAACCCAACACAGGAGGGCTGGGAAAAACTAAAGATAAAGAGAAAGAGGAAGAGGGAAAGCAACAGAGGGAGAGAAAGAGAGAGAGAGAGAGAAAGATGGAAAGAGAGAGAGAGAGAGACAGAGACAGAGACAGAGACTCGAGATTGCGGCCGCCCCTCCCGAGGCGTCCTCCTCCACCTCAATGGAATCCCTGTCCTCCTCCTCCTCCTCCTCGTCCTACTCCTCCTCCTCCACCTCCTCATCCTCCTCCTCCTCCTCCTCCTCCTCCTCCTCCTCCTCATCCTCCTCCTCCTCCTCCTCCTCCTTCGCAGCCATCTTGGCTCAAGCTGGCTCGATTCCCCCCGAGCGCAGCGGCCGGTGCGAGCGTGGTGGCTGCGGGAGGAGCCCCTGCGGGGGAATCCTGCGAGTCGGCGGCGGCGCCACGTGCTCGACGAGGGTCGCGCTCGGGAGGCTGCTGATCGTGCTGTTCGCAACGCAGTGGGCGCTGCTAAGCAAGCTGGAGGCGCGGCTCGATTTTGCCGAGCCCGCCCTGACAGCCATAGTGGGCGGCGCTGCCCTCGCGGACCGCCGTGCGGCGATCGTCCCAGCGCTGCAGCACCTGGCCGCTGGTCAGGTGCCGCCTTCGCTGGATCGGCTCCGGCGCAACGTGGCGCTTCACGCCCGCGCGCGTGAGCTGGAGGGACGGATGTGCACGGCGTCGCCGTCGGAGCTCCGCGCGGCCACCAAGGGGCAGCGGCTGGAGAGAAGTGGACATCTCGGTCAAGATCGGCGTCGCGGAGCACGTGGCGTTCAAGGCTGGAGGGCGCGGCGCTGCGGCGCCACCAGTTGCGACGGCCTAGCGGCGGGAGGCCCCGCCCTTTCGGTCTGGCGCTGGAGCCCACTTCACTTTGCAAGAGGGAGTGGGAGACCTCGACGTGCCTCTGGAGGCGCCGCACCTGTCTTCGTCCGCGTGCCTGTGCTCGTGCGCAGGCGGCTATTATTCTTGCTGCTCGGCCTCGTGCAGTCAGCCGCGGAAGCAGGATGGCGGACCTCAGGACCCCCACGGTGGACATCGTGGCATCCTCGAGGTGGGGGTTGGGGGGACAGCCGCCCGACTCGCTGGAGTTGGAGGCGCGGGGACAGGTGTGCGGGTCGGGATCCGAGGACGTCCGACGACGCGTTCGAGACCGTGGGCGATGTCGCTGGCGACTCGGGAACGGGCGCGGCAAGCCCCCCACATTGTGGGAAAGTCGGGAAGGGTCCTTGAGGTGGCCAGGACCCATGTCACACGGCTCCCGGTGTGGGATGTGGGGCGGTCCGCTCGGGGTGTGGGGCATGGGTGGTGGGTGGAGTGGCCACAACCTCACGCCCTGCCGCTGAGGCGGGTGACGTGAAGCGCGTGCCATCCCCGACGTCGGGAAGGGCCCAGGTGGTGGGAGGAGTGGCCGCGGTCCAGGTGGTAGGAGAAGAGGCCGAGTGACCTGCCCAGGTGGAAGGCGGAGATGCAGGTGGTGCGAACTCCGCGACTGGCGTGGGAGCGGTGGCCTGGCCCCGTCTCTACCTGGAGTGCCGGCTCAAGTATCGCGTCGGTTGCGGAGCGTGGACGTATCCCGCTGCCCTTCGTGCCGCAGATGCTGAGGACGACTCGCAGGAGCGCTTGGCCCGCGCCGCTCGCCTCTCCAGGCGCGGCAAGCGTTGAACGGCCATGGTGTGGGAGATCCGCGAGTATGCGATGGGACTGCGTCCTTTTCTTCCCCCTCTCGGGCACCCGTGGGTCTTCAACTGCCACGAGCCGTTGTGCAAGTGCATGCCGTGCTTGGAGACGGGCACCATCGAGTCCGATGCTATGTATGTTCCAGCTGATGGCTCCTGGCATCCGTCGTGGTCGCCGTCTCCTCAAGCTGGGGGTCCCACGCGATGGAACAGAGCCGGAGGGGCTGTCCAGGCTCGTTGGCGTCAACATGAGCTGGCGGAGCCACCTCCCTCTCCCCTGCCTCCTCCTCCTCATCCTCCTCCTCCTCCTCCTCCTCCTCCTCCTCCTCCTCCTCCTCTTCCTCCTCCTCCCCCTCATTTCCACTGGCTTTGTTCCTCCTCGGGGCTTCGGTGCTGCGGTTGAGGGAGGCTGTGGGCCGCGGAGTACTCCATTCACTTCCTCCTCCTCCTCCTCCTCATCATCATCATCAGCATCAGCATCAGCATCAGCATCAGCATCATCATCATCATCATCATCATCAGCAGCAGCAGCATCATCATCACCTCATCCTCATCATCAATCCTCATCAACCTCATCCTCCTCCTCCTCCCCCTCCTCCTCCCCTCCTCCTCCTCCTTCCTCCTCCTCTCCTCCTCCTACCTAACCCTAACCCTAACCCTCACCCTCCTCCTCCTCCTCCTCCTCCTCCTCCTCCTCCTCCTCCTCCTCCTCCTCCGCCTCCTGCTCCTCCTCATCCTCCTTCTCATCCTCCTCACCCTCCTCCTCACCCTCCTCCTCCTCCTCCTCTCCTCCTCCTCCTCCTCCTCCTCCTCCTCCTCCTCGCCTCCTCTTCCCCTCCTCCTCCTCCTCTCCTCCTCCTCCTCCTCCTCCTCCTCCTCCTCCTCCTCCTCCTCCTCCTCCTCCATTTCTCCTCCTACAAGGAAAACCAACATCCGCCTTCTGTGGGAGGTCTTGTTCTGGACGTCTTATCAATGAAAGCTGGAATATACGAACGACGAAGCCCTCTAGGCTGTTGGTCACTGCCGAGCAGCTGCCCCCCATCTTCCTCCTCTTCCTCCAGTTCCGCATCGTCATAATCAGCATCATCATCATCATCATCATCATCATCATCATCATCATCATCATCATCATCATCATCATCATCATCATCATCATCATCATCATCATCATCATCGTCGTCATCATCATCATCATCATCATCATCATCGTCATCATCATCATCATCATCATCATCATCATCATCAACATCATCATCAGCATCATCATCATCAGCAGCAGCAGCATCATCATAATAAGCATCATCATCATCGTCATCATCATCATCATCATCATCATCAGCAGCATCATCATCATCATCATCATCATCATCATCAGCAGCAGCAGCATCAGCAGCATCAGCATCAGCATCATCATCATCAGCAGCAGCAGCAGCATCATCACAATCATCATCCTCACCAGCATAAGCATCAGCATCATCATAATCATCAGCAGCAGCATCCTCATCATCATCGCATCATGATCATCATCGTAATCATCGTCAACAGCATCATCATCATCATCATCATCATTATCATCATCAGAATCATCATAATCGGAATCAACATCATCATCATCATCATCATCATCATCATCATCATCATCATCGTCATAATCAGCATCCTCATCAGCATCATCATCATCATCATCATCATTATCATCAGCAGCATCAGCATCATCATCGTCATGATCAGCGTCATCATCATCAGCAGCATCTGCGTCATCATCATCAGCAGCAGCATCATCAGCATCATCATCGTCAGCAGCATCATCCTCATCATACTCATCAGCATCATCATCATCAGCAGCAGCATAATCACCGTCGAAGCAGCAAAGCAGCATCGGCATTATCATCATCAGTATCATAATTATCATCAACGTCGTCATCATCATCAGCAGCATCACCATCACCCTCAGCAGCATCATCATCAGCATCATCATCGTCATCATCAGCAGCAGTATCATCATCGTCATCGTCATCATCATCAGCAGCAGCATCAGCATCATCAGCATCATCATCGTCAGCATCATCATCCTCATCATAATCATCAGCATCATCAGAATCAGAATCATCAGCAGCAGCATCATCATCAGCAGCATCAGCATCACCACCAGCATCATCATCGTCACCATCATCATCATCATCGTCATCATCAGAAGCAGCATCATCAGAATCATCATCAGCAGCAGCATCAGCATCGTCACCATCACCATCATCATCATCAGCAGCATCATCACCGTCATCATCATCATCAGCAGCAGCATCATCATCATCATCAGCAGCAGCGTGATCATCATTCACTTCCCCTTATCGGTAACTCCTCTCTGTCACGCCCCCAGGCATGTCGGTAGGGAAGACCGGCCGTGTCGCCCGAAACTTCATCATCACTGATGGTCCTCAGGCTTGAAATTGGCAACTGGTGGGGGGGGGGTCGTTTTCACAATAGAGCTCTCGCCTTAGCGCCCCGCAAATTTGCCACAAGCTTGCACGGGCTTCAAGGATGAAGTGGGGTCGTTTTCAAATTTGGGCGCTCGGCTAAACGCCACGCACATTCCTCTTAACAGCTCACAGGCTTCAAGGATGGAGGGGAATTGTTTTCAAAATTGGGCTCTCGCCTCAGGCTTTTTGCGACCTCGCATAAAATCCCAAACCCCTGTGACTCCAGAGTCCCAGTCAAACTCCAGGCCTGGTTTTCAGCGAGCAAATGCGAAGGCGACTCTACGCAGCACAGGAAACTCAGCAAACGGGTCCCATTAGTGGTGATCCATGAGTACGTGCCCCAACAAGACGCCGTCCCTGGATACCCCTGGACTCGGAACCAGGAGGTGATGAAACCAAGAAAGCGGAACGAGCCCAGGGAACCAGAAACATTGGAACTACTCAGCCCCCTGCAAGGCAGCATGACGCAGATACTGGGAGTCCCCAGTACCTGGGTCTTCGAAATAGAGTTACACATGCAGCGCCAAAAACGATGAACAAAACTTTCAGAGGCATGATTGCATCTACAGCAGAGGGGGGGGGGACAGGGCACAGTTGGGCCTCGAAATGACGCTGCTTGGCCGAATAATTCTCGAAGAGGGATAAGGAGGAGGAAGGAGGAGGAGGAAGAGGAGGAGGAGGCGGAGGAGGAGGAGGAGCAGGAGCAGGAAGAGGAGTAGAAAGAGGAAGAGGATGAGATGAGGAGGAGGAGAGGAGGAGAAGGAGGAGAAGGAGGAAGAGGAGGGGGAGGAGGAGAGGAGGAGAGGAGGAGGAGGAGGAGGAGGAGGAGGAGGGGAGGAGGAGGAGGAGGAGGAGGAGGAGGGGGGTAAAGAAGGATTCAGAAAAAAGGAGGATCGAGGAGGGAGGAGGAGGAGGAGGCTCGAGGAGGGAGGAGGGGGAGGAGGAGGAGGAGGAGGAGGAGTAGGAGGAGGAGGAGGAGGCCGTAGCCATTTTGGCTCAAGCCGTCCGCAGCGGACGACCTCTTGGTTCGATTGTGCCTCGCGCATGGTTGCCGCCTTGGAGGTGTCTGCACGGGCTTGTTCTGGCACGGGAGGGCATGGGTGATGCATGCCCAGTTTCACCACGACGTACTGCTGCTGAGCGTCGAGCTCGCCGAGATTGGGCCCGCCTTTCGGCTGATCGGGCTGTGCATCGGCTTACTGAGGAGCTGAAGGAGCTTCAGGGTAAGTATGGTGGTCTGCTCCAATCGGTTGTGGCTTTTTTCGGCGATCCCGCTCTTGCAGATAGAGTTCTCGCAGTGGTTCCAGCTCTCGCGGACCTCCTGTCTGGACGCCTTCCTGAGCATTCGGTTGTGCTTCGACGGAACGTAGCCGTACATTCCTCGGCGCCGCCTGGGTTATGGATTTCTGTTGCATCGACCAAGGAGCTCAGGAAACTGCAAAAGGGTGCAAGGCTGCCAAAGGTGTCGACTCTCAATCCCGACGCTGCCCCTTTCGCTCCGCAAGACTTGGGCGACCCGATTGTGGAGCAGCTCGGCAGGCCTGGGATGTGGGAGCCTTGCGAGGTGGCCCCGCCTTCGTCTCGGACTTCTGGTGCAGTGAGGCCAGGAACAGATAGCGAGGCTTCCAGAGATTTTTGGGCTGAGCCTGGCCCCCACCCCGTGGCAGGGGATAGAAAGGCAGACGTTTGTGGTGGGACCGTCAATATTGGTATGGACATAGGCACACAGGAGGTACAGGCAAGCCAGGGGACGGTGGTGACGGCTTCACCATCTTCGCTTCTCGTTTCCCTTGGTCGGAACATCGTGGCACTTCATCGCAGGTGCTGCTCACAGGGCCACGTGCTGGAGAGTGAGGTGAATGACGACCTTCCCACAATATTTGCACGGCCTGTCAGAGCACCATCCCGATTGGAGGCCAGATTTTCTTATGCGACAGCGTGAGTTGCCAAGACCAGTTCTGCGTGACCTGTGTTCATCCTGAACTCCGCGAGCAAGGTCCATGACATCATTTTCTGCGGTGGAGTCAGACATTGTTCTGTATGTTTTCACAGTTGCCCCCTATTCGCGGTTGGCTTTCTCGGATTCAAGTCACGGTGTATCGAGGACCCCTGAGAGAAACGTTCACGTTATGCCTTGTAAGTGGCTTCTTGCATTGTGTCTCGTTTTCGGAGGCCAGCGTGGGGCGGGCAGGCGGCTCTGGGATGGATGCATGAGTTCTGTCTTTCTTCCCGCACCGACAACGTGGACGGCCAGGCCAAGTCCGTCCCGTTCGTGCTCTTCTGAGCGGGGGCCCCAGTCAGTGGAATCGGCCCTTAAGTTAGGTAAGAGATAAGAGGAGGAGGAGGAGGAGGAGGAGGAGGAGGAGGAGGAGCAGGCGGAGGCGGAGGCGGAGGGGGAGGAGGAGGAGGGAGGAGGAGGAGTGAGGAGGAGGATGAGGAGGAGGAAGAGGAGGAGGGGGAGGAGGAGGGAGGAGGAGGAGGAGGAAGAGGAGGAGGAGGAGGAGGAGGAGGAGGAGGAGGGGGAAGATCGAGGATCGAGGAGGCCGCGGCACAGCCAGGAGGAATGACGGCAGCCTCAGCCGCGAGGCTCCGCCGGGATGGATGCGCCAGCTACGTCAGCGCTGCCGCCAGCGCCTGTCCACGCGGCGGCCCCCCCCAGGGCTGCTTCAGCTCGACGGTGCCCCAGAGGAGGGAGGAGGGCGAGAAGGAAAGACGGCGGGGGAGGAG